ACTTTATTATCGCTTTCTGGCCCACGTGTGATAACGTCCAAAGAGTTGTCATAAGTCAGAACTGACTTGAAGGCACACAATACAATCAAGGAGTTTTTTAACTAAAATTTTGTAAAGATGCAGGAATATTCAGCTGCTTAAATCATCAATTAGGGTCTGTAGCGGCCCATCTGAAAATTGGATTTCACATTAATTTCCCAGTCAGTGCCTCTGACAATTAGACCATGATTATTCGGTTTTTCTGGAGTGGTGACTTCTGGTTTTGATTCCATGCTCCTCTGCTTACTCTGTCCTGCTTTGATAAACTTGGTTCTGCTGACTATAATTAACTTTACAAGCTGTTGCCTGGGCCATTGGCCAACATTCCCAAGCGGTCATGCACTTGCAGCTACGGATATTGCATAGGCCCAAGAAAGTCCTAGACAGAGGAGGCCCCAAAGGTGAGAAGATTGGGATGGGGACCCCTGACTGGGTAGGAAACATCCGAGCAATGCTTGGAGGCGCATTAGAAGATTCATTTGAGGGTGGGTCCACATGGGAGGTGGGTTATCCTATGGGATTTAAATACCTATGCTGTTTTGATCTTCTGAAATGCATATAGATCGTAGCTACATCCCTGCATAAAATGTACAACATATTCTCTGGTGGCTAATTAAAAGCCGCACTCGGCGTGTAAACATATCCCACAAATAGAAGCCTAGGCTTCGTCATCGATTGAGTCCTGAAGACACATGCGTACTAATGTATACATTTGTTGTACAGCTGTGCTTAGGGATGTGGGTAGAGGAAATCACACCACAAATATCAAACATCTTTCTGAAGAGGGGCAGGGAATTGCATAACACTCCAGATCATGTTGGACTGCAACTCCCAGCATTCCTCAACATTGCTGATGTGAGTGAGGGATGCTGGGAGTTAGAATCCAACAGTATGTTATAAGTGCCCTGGTTCCCACCCACCTCAGAATGTTCTATCACTGTTGATGATGATGTTGGGAGACTTGAAGTCATTTCCAACTTATGGCAACCCCAGGACAAACCTATAATGGAATTTTCTCGGCAAGATTTGTTCAGATGGGGTTTGCGTTTGCTTTCATCTGAGGCTGAGAGTGTGTGACTTGCTCAAGGTCACCCATGGGGTTTCCATGGCCAAGTGGAGATTTGAACCCCGGTCTCCAACAGCATAATCTAACACTCAAACCACCACACCTAACATTCATGATCACTGCTACTCCCCTGTAATGCAAGTTCTTGTATAGGTGCCATTCATCTCTGATTTCAGTCGCAACCACATATCACACAGCTATAGCACCCTCAACTTTTGCTGCTTCAGTTAAAACACACACACACAATCATAGGCATCTATTTTGTATAATTTTTATAAGGCAGGGATGCGGAACATGCAGACCTCAGATGTTGTTAGACTTTAACTTAGCCAGTATAAGTAAAGGATCATGGAATTGCATTCCTACAAATCTAGAGGAAATGAGGGGAAAACTTTTATAGCAGAGGCATGCAACTACGGAGGGGCTAGCCATTACCTGGAAGCATACTGGAAATTATGGCGTGTCACTTCTGGTTGCCGTTTTGGGTTTGGGGAGAAGTTGTGAGATTCCGGCAGACACTGGGGCCTGATGGAAGTAAACCACTGCTTTTGTTTCAGATTTTATGCTGAGTTTGTGGGGGAGGATTTTTAAGGTTTCTACCCGATGAAATTCATGGGGTTTCCATAAATTGACAAGCAACTCGAAGGCACGTGCATGCGCGCACACACACACAGAGCCTTTTAATGAATTTTAATGTTTTTAGCCTTATAATTTTTTTAATTGTTTTAAAGTAACACATATTTATGCCTTTATTGAAGTTTTTGTATGCAGCAGTTTTAATCCACATTGTTTAAATACATGGTTAAGTGCCTTGATTCTCATTGTTGAGAGAAAGGTAGGAATAATAATAATAATAATAATAATAATTTGCTTGAAAATTGGCATGGAAAAAAAACGACAACATTAAAGCATTTGTGAGATTTTCAGGGTTGCCACAGAGGCTTCAATGGCCACAAAAATAAGGTTCAAGGGCCACCTATATGGCCACCTATTTTGAAGCAAAATGGCTCCGTCATATAGCTGCAAGTCTGCTTTTGACTGTGAAAAGCAGGGGAGGTTTTTTATGTTAAACACTAGCAATGGGGTTGCAATGCGGTTGCAGTTATGGAATGGCCTGCTGGACGAGATCCATCTTATTACCACCTTAAACAGCTTTAAAAAGGCTGTTAAGACGGATCTCTTCCAGCAGGCCTTTCCTGAATAGATATCCTGGCCCCAAGAGTCAGTCCATCCTTCTCTTCCAATTTCTGCCGCAGCTAGTGTTATTGTTATTTTGTGTTATTATCTCTTAAATTATTTTTTGTTTAATACTATTTTAAGGGTGGGTAGGTCTTGGGGAGTTGTATTACACTTTTATTGTACTTTTAATGTTGTAAGCCGCCCTGATTGTGTTCGCAGAGGGGCAGGATAATAATAATAATAATAATAATAATAATAATAATAATAATAATAATAATAATTTGAAAAGCCTTTCAGGAGAAGGAGATCATCTTCTGCTGGCTAGTAAAAAGTGGCCCAAGGAGTCTGGATGAGTTAGGATCTGCAACAACATCCTTGGAGGCCACATATGGCCCTCAGAATTATGCTTTCCCAACTCCCTGGCAGGTCCTTGGCTCTATCTGCACTGCAGAAAGAATCCAGTTTGACACCACTTTAACTGCCAGGGCTCAGTGCTTTGGAATTCTGGGAACCACATAGCATTGAGCCATGGCAGTTAAAGTAGTGTCAAACCAGATTCTTTCTGCACTGTAGACGCAGCCCTTATTAGTTATTTGTAGCTTGCCCTGGTTGTCTGCACCTGACGTCTTACATTTTTTGGAACATTCCAACATTGTTGACAATGAGAAAGCAACCCTGTTGGCATGAATATACAGTCACTTTGCAGGTAATTGCTCTGTGTGTTCAGTAGTGCTTTCGGTGGAGGGTGTGTTTCATGCATCTCAGTCCTATCACATTCCTTCCCCTCTGTTTGCCCCCCAGTTGTCTTTTCCTACAGGTGATCTCCTTTTCAGGAGGCAATGTCATGCCCTGATGGCCCCCCAGAGGATGCTGCACCTGAACACCAGTGGAAGCTGCGGAATGAGGGCCACGTGGAAAGTTTCTTTGCAGCAGCTTTGCAGCTGAGAGACCAGCACCATCTTGTGGATGTGACTGTGTCCCTTGGCCTAAGGAACTATGAAGCCCATGGTCCCCTCCTTGCCGCCGTGAGCTCCATCTTCCGGCAGCGTTTAGAATGTGGGGAGCAAGGTGTGATGGAGCTGGATGGTGTGACTACACCACAGGGCTGGGAGACTATTTTGAATTTCGCCTACACTGGAGACTTACAGGCCACATCAGAGGTCGCTGGGGAGGTCTTAGATGCAGCTGAGGCACTGGGTGTCCCACGCGTGGCTGAGATTTGCAAGACTGTATTGATCGGGACGGAAACAGAGGACAGGTTGAGTCCAGTAGAAGAGAAATGGGAGACACTACGGAGCCTGGAAGAGCTGTACGAAGAAGGCATTGGCTGGGACCTGGAGCTTAAAGCTGAGGGAGAAACTTTCCGAGGTGAACAAAGCTGAGGTGGAGCTCAAAATACAGAGAGAATGGGTTATGTGGATTGAGATGAAGTGGGAAATCCACATTTACATACCTTCAAACTGTTCTGATTTGGCAGGGACAGTCCCTATTAATCCTCTGTCCTATTTATTTTCAGCTACTTTTTAAATGCCCCAGTTTCTCTCACTTTCCCCATTTGTCCTCAGATTACTTCAACTGCTGCACACAGAGTTCA